CCCCCCCCCCCCCCCCCCCCCCCCCCCCCCGCCGAGTTCATGCACGTGTGGCCGACTGCAGCCTCTCTAGATGGTGTGTCATGAGCCTCTTCCCATACCTGCCCACCCAGATGTCCGTGTCACCACTCCGGAAGCACAGTCACAGGAGCCCGCTGCCTCACACGCGCCCAGTCCAGTCTGGTCATGGGATAGCCCCCGGCCCCCTCGGCCCCACCCTGCCCCTTCTGAACTACCCCCGGCCTCTGTGCCCGCTCTGGCGTGACTTCAGCCAGGCCCTGCCCACTTCATGCCCATTCACAAAGCCCACCTGGTTCCCACACCCTCATTGTGCCCCGCCCCATCTGCCTGCTACAGATTCTCATTGCCACGCTGCGGGTGGCCCTGCCCAGCGTCATGCGTTTCTGCTGCTGTGTGGCTGTCATCTACTTGGGCTACTGCTTCTGTGGCTGGATCGTGTTGGGGCCTTACCATGTGAAGGTAGGGGCTGTCGGGGGCACGCTTCTCAGGGTCCACCATCCAGCTCCTGCCTCCCCTCTCCAAGCCCCCCCTTCCTAAAGCCTCTGATCCCTCACCTATCAGATTGTTGATCTGGGGGCATGAATCCCCCACCTTGACCCCTGGTACCTTCCCGGGAGGTCTGTGGCAGTTCTGCCCACTGTCCCCTCTGATCCCCCCCCCAGTGACCCCACCCTGCCCCCAGCCCCGCCCGCAGCTCCCTCTCACTCCACTGCCCTGCTGGCAGTTTCGCTCGCTGTCCATGGTGTCGGAGTGCCTGTTCTCGCTCATCAACGGGGACGACATGTTCGTGACATTCGCCGCGATGCAGGCGCAGCAGGGCCGCAGCAGCCTCGTGTGGCTGTTCTCCCAGCTCTACCTCTACTCCTTCATCAGCCTCTTCATCTACATGGTGCTGAGTCTCTTCATCGCGCTCATCACGGGTGCCTACGACACCATCAAGGTCAGCGCCGGCCCACACGCCCTCCCCCCCAGCCCGCCTCCAGCGAAGCCAGCTCTCACACCCACGCAGCCGTGAACCAGGGGCTCCAGGTCCCCTGGCGTTGGCCCCAGCAGGGTCTCAGTGGACATGAGGCAGGGTGAAGAGGGAAGGATCCAGGGAGAGACCCTGAGAAGCCAGAACATAGGTGGCCAGGCTGGTGGCGCTGATCACAGCCACCACAACCTTGGTTTTCTCATTGTGGGGTTTGGGCCAGGTAAGCATTCCTGGGTCTGCTTTTTACCAATGGGGAGAGTAGGCTCTAGAGTTTTAGTGACTTGTCTGAGGTCAGCTACTAGGTGGCGGGGCCAGCCTCCACCCAGGACTGTGTGATTCCGGAAGGTCCCGCTCCTAATTCTTCTATCTCGTAGGGTGGTCTGGGCAGGAGCTCTTGAAGCCCAGGGAGTGGTAGTCCTGCAGGTTGCAGGGGTCAGAGGAGAGGGGCCGGAATAGAATGTGGGGGTGGCATGCAGGCCAAGCCTTGTACTGGGTAACTAGGAGACACCGTGGGTATAGACTAGCCTAGCCCAGGAGGCAAGATGGAAGATCCAAGAACACAGAGGTGTAAGGACCAGCTGGTGAGGGGGACGAAGGTTACAGAGTGTCCCCTGGTCTAGACTGCTACTGGGGTGAGCCTGGGGAAGTTTCCAGAATGTGCCATCTAATACTAGTTTTAGCCACATGTGACTATTTACATTTTGACTTTAATCAATCTGAATTCCATACTCAGTTCCTCACTCACACCTTTTACGTATCAAGTACCTGAAAGCCAATATGGCCGGTGATGACCAGATTGGGCAGCACAGATGGCAAACCTTGCCATCATCTCAGAAGCTTCTGGGTTGACGAGCTGAGAGTTGAGAGAGCACTGGGGAGAAGGAGCAGCTAGGGCAAAGGCCCAGTGGCCAGAAAGGAATTGGGGAAGAGGTGAAGGCTCCTTTACCAGGTTGGGAGGGGGTGAAGGCTCTGCTGAAAGTAGATGTGCACCCCCCACCCCCCACCTCCCTGCGAGCATGGATAAGCCATCCCACAGACACTCTGTCACCAGGGCCTGAGGAGCCCCTGTGCATCTTGCTTTAGCACCTAAATATCACCTGTGTGTATCGGCTTTGGATGTACAAGCCCAGACCTCGAGCCCTGTGTGTGCACCCAACTCATTACTTGGGTATCAAGCACCCAGATTGTGTCCGGTGTGGGTCTGGGTGCTGAGCAGCAGCAGAGGGCACCAGCTGGCCGAGAAGCGGGTGCACATATTCGGGAGGCCAGGGAAGGTCTCTGGGGAAGCACACCATGAGGAATGGCAGGTGCAGGGGACAGTGAATGCAGAGTGAGAGTTGTGGAGGCGTGGTGGGGGGAAGCTTGGCTCGTGGAAGGAACCAGGAGGAGACCCAGCTGGCTGGCTGGTGAAGGAGGTGGTGGGGAGGCCAGGCCTCAAAGGGGCCACCACGCGTTTCTCCGCAGCACCCCGGAGGTGCTGGCGCAGAGGAGAGCGAGCTCCAGGCGTACATCGCGCAGTGCCAGGACACCCCCACCTCCGGCAAGTTCCGCAGAGGGAGCGGCTCGGCCTGCAGCCTCCTCTGCTGCTGCAGGTTCGAGCTGGGGCCTGGGGGCCTGGGAGAGGGAGTGTTTCTCAGAGAACTGCTGCCTTCTGCCCTGGCCGGCCGGCTGATTCGGCTTCTCTTCCAGGGACGCCTCGGAGGAGCATTCGCTGCTGGTGAACTGATTCGGACCCGCCGCTGCTACTGGACATTAGCCCTCCGATTGCGGAGACTCACGCTTATTTATTTTTAGGGTTTGCTTTTAAAGGACCGGCTCCCTGCCGTGCCCTGAGGACCTGGGCCAGTCGGGTCGGACAGGGGTGGGGTGGGTGTTAAATAAACGGGAAAATAAACTTGTTCTCATTTGTAGTGGGAAGGCCATTCCCTGCGCCCACAGGTCTCGGTCCCTTTAAGGCCTTGTTAAATGCGTAGCGGGCTGCGCAGGACCGCCGACACTCGGTGGGGGGCGGGGCTGTGGCGCGCCCTGCGGTGAATAATTTAAAGGGGCCGCGCCTGCGGCGCCGGGCGGAAAGCTACCGGTGTTGGCGTACGGTGGACCCTGGCTGCGGCCGCCTGGGTGAGTCCGGGTTTTCGTCGCCCCGCAAATGCGCCCCTTCGGGGATCATTAGCGAGACCTTGGCTTTCCTAAGATCTGTCCTCTGATTCCTGGTAGTCCCCGACTCCGATATTCCCATCCCCCTCCCAGTTCTTGGCAGGTGTTTCCGCGCCGGTAGTAGCTAGGTGCGCTGTAGGGTCGAAGGGGACTAGTTCTCCGTAAATTTTCCATGTACCATCTCAAGGGCCCAGTGACTCCCCTAAGTTTCCGTTAGTACTCCAGCGATGCCAGAAACATTCTCATTTTTCCAGAAAAGCCCCAGTAATCTTCCAGCATTCATCCCGAGGCCGGCTCTCTAGGTCAAACGACCGCAGGGACGTGCCCACCCAGCTCTCGGTTTCCCCAGTAACAGTCCTGTATTCCTGAGAATCTCAGCAACTTTACAGTGACCCCGGGTAATTCCAGCATCCCTGGTTTCGTCTCCCAGTAATGGCGCCAGCATCGTTCCCAAAGTCCCAGTGATGCTCCACACTGTCAGAGACCCCATAACTTTATTAATACGTGACGGTAAAGCGCCAACATCAGCCACCTTGTGACCCCTGCCCCACTCCAAGCATCCCGGATCCTTCCGAGACCTCGGTATCGCCCCAGGACCTCTTGTGTGGTAGTTTGCGGCAGCATTCCCCAGCGTCCTGGACCGTGGGTTTCCCGAGGAGATTTAGGTCAGAAGTCAATCGTCTCCTCGACCCCGTGGTTTGAAGGCCCCAGTTTCCCTGGGGTGGGGCATCTAGTCTTCGCACGGGGGTACGGCCTAGCGCCGGCTGGGTCAGAATTGATCAATCCCGCATTGCGGAGGCCAGGAAGGAGCCACTTGCGGGAGGAAGTCAGGCCCATCGGTTACACTGGGTGTCTGGCCGACTGCCCTTTGGCCCCAGGGTGGGGCCCTACCGCTGGGGCGTCTGTCGGCCCGGGTGTGGGTGAAGGGCGCCAGGCGGGGAACCAGAGACAGCCCCCTCACTCCCTCGCCCGGGACTCCAGGTCCACCTGCACCACTTCTCTGCTCTGCAGTGCCCCTCCAGCCGTCCTCTGGCCAGCAACGCCATCCAGTCGGCCCTTAGGAAAAGAGCAAGACTCATGGTAAGGAGCAGGGCTTGCGGCAGGGGAAAGGGGGGCCCAGAGCGACGACTTCCACCGGTTTCTTCTCCTTCGTATTCCCTAGGACTCAAGGCTACCAGACCTGCCTCCCAGTCTGAAGCAACTGATGGAGGCTCCGCTGCAGACCGGAATGGTAAGGGTTGAGGGGGTGTGGCGCCGCGGGAACTACAATTCCCGAAATGCTCAGCGCTCACTGCGGTCTCGTGAGAACTTGGCTACGTCTGTTCAGGTGGAACTACGTTTCCCGGCGTGCACCGCGGGCTGCGGAGCCACCGGAAAGAGTGGCGCCCCCGGGGAGGGAGCGAAGCCGGCCCATACTGCAGATGGGGGCATCGAGTCACGGGCCGACTGTGACCTCCTCGGGGGCCGGGGACTTGGCGGAGTGGGATGGGGACGGGGGCGTCCAGGCCTCCGTGGAGGGCTCGGGAGGCCGGATATGCGATGCGCAGCCAGTGCCCTTCATCCCGCAGGTGCTGGGTGCGATGATTGGGGCTGGAGTCGCGGTGGTGGTCACGGCCGTATTCATTCTCCTGCTGGTGCGGAGACTGCGAGTGCAGAGTGAGGATTCAGAGGGCCCCTCCCGGAAGGCTGCGGAGTGGGGAGCTGAAATGTCCGGGTTCCTGAGGCAGTAGAGATGGGATTTACGGGAGTCTCCAGGCAGGGTCCTCATCTCTTTTCACGTGGAGGCTGCGCAGAGCTCAGAGTGCTTCTCTCCCCGCTTATCCCCAGAGACTCCAGCCCCGGATGGCCCCAGGTATCGATTCCGGAAGAGGGACAAAGTGCTTTTCTATGGTCGGAAGATTATGCGGAAGGTGAGTCTGGGACCTCCGGGGGTCCTCGCCGACCACACAGAGGTTCTGCCCTTTCCCTTTTGCACTTCTTGGTAAGCCCGCCCTCCTTGGCCCCTTCTCCCTTTAGATCTGAACTGGCAGTTCACCCATCCCCCATCCTTAATCCTCCTAGGTCTCACAATCCACTTCCTCCCTGGTGGATGCCTCGGTCTCCACCACGTCCCGGCCACGCATGAAGAAGAAACTTAAGATGCTCAACATTGCCAAGAAGTAAGGCTGTATTGGGTGTGCCTGGCACTGGGGGGAGGGGCATCTCAGGGACCTTTTGAGTCATCAGCCTACACCAAAGGGTGTATCTAAGGGTTCTTTGAACCCCACGGACTTAGAGTGGCTCTCTCAGAGCTCTCCCTCGCCAGCAGACAGGCTGTCTTGGTGTCTCTGTGCCCTGAGGGCTATCTCAGCTATGTTCCCCTACCACGGGGGTGTCTGTGAGCCAGTTATCTTCAGTCAGTAGCTCAGACGCTTTATAACGCGAGCAGGGGTCTGCATCTTGGCTTTCCACGTAGGCTAGCCCGTGGGTCTCCCCACACCAGGGGTGATTCATTGGCGTTCACTCAGGTGCTTCTGTGACCTGCTGGAGGGGCGCCTGTAGCTTTTGTCTTCTGGGGGTATCTCTGCAGTTTCTCTACATCAGAGAGCATCTCTCTCTGTCTCCTGCCTTGGAGTTCTTCCCACGCTAAGGAAGCTATCTTAGGTGTTTCTGAACCCCAGGAGTTATTTCAAGAATCTTCTTGCTCTAAGAAGTGTAGGAGGGACATCTCAGGGGTCCATGTCATCGGTAAAGTGCTATCTCAGAGTCTCTGAGAAAGGCCCTCCCAGGGATCTTTCTGAGTTGGAAACTGGCTCTGAGGTCGGTCGCCTGACATCATGGAATATCCTTGAAGGTCTGTTTCAAGGTCTTTGCACTAAGGGCTGTCCCGTTAAGGGTGTCATCCCAGGGCTGCTCATGACCAACAGTGGTGATGTCACACAGCTTTCTAGGGCTTGAGTGGAAGGGGGCAGCTCTGAATTCTCTGTGATCAGCTGAGGGTTTGTATCTTGTGGGTCTGTATGTCACGGAGGTCGTATCAGTGTGTGCATACCCTTGAGGAGCTACGCTGATGTCATGACCTTCAGAGGGCTATCTCAGCTCTCTGTGACCTGGGTAGGGGCTAGCCCAAGATATCTCCGATCAGAAAAGGGAGCCATGTCTGGATTTCCTTGTATCGTGGAGCTTAATTCAGGGCTCTGGTCATACTAGAGGGTCTGGGGTCAGGAGTCTTGTGACCAGGGAAGGGACCATCTCCATAGGAACTGTGACTTGCAGGGGAGGGCTCTCCCGGTCTAGGATTACCAGAGGAACCGTATCTGTACACTCCACACACGATGAAGGCTGTTTCAGGAGTCTTTGTGACCATCAAAGCAGTCATCTCAGGGTTCTCTGAGATCTGGGAGGAAGGGCTAGTTCAGGGACCTTCACAAAAACCAAAACAGCTGTACCTGAGGTCTCTTCATATGATGGAAACCACCCCAGAGAGCTGCCTGCATTTGAGAGGTTATGTGTCTGTGTCTAGTCTGTGCTAAGAAAGACACTTTCACGGGTCCCCTGATGAATGGAGGTGCTATTTCTGGGGTCAGCCAGTATTTCATGTCAGGGGTCTGCCCGTAAACTATAGGTTCTGTCTCAGAAGCTTACAATTAGTGAAAGAGTAACTCAGGGTTTCATATCAGGTCAGGCAAGTGCGTTTTGCAAGGGATCAGATCAATAAATATTTTAGGCTTTGCAGATCATGTGATTGTTATAATCCTTCAACTTTGCTGTTGAGTGAAAGCAGCCACAGGTAATATGTAACTGAATGTAAAAGAATGTGAATTGGGTATGTGCCAATAAAACTTTATTCACACAAATGGGTAGCGGGCCTGGTTTAGCTAGTGTGCCAGAGTTTGCTGATCCCTGTGTTTTGTGATTTGGGGGAAGGGCTGTGTGGAGTCTCAGGTCTGCCTGAGCCCTCTCCCTGCCCGCCCCCCTGCACCCTTCTCTTCCCACCAGGATCCTGCGCATCCAGAAAGAGGCACCAACGCTGCAGCGGAAGGAGCCCCCACCTGCGGTGCTTGAGGCTGACTTGACAGAGGGTGACCTGGCTAACTCTCACCTGCCCTCCGAGGTGCTCTACATGCTCAAGAATGTCCGGTCAGTGTTGGGATGCGGGCGGGGGGGCTGCAAAGCTGGGGGCTCCCCTGACCTCTTGCATCCCTCCTCCCCCCTCCCCCATCCACCAGGGTGCTGGGCCACTTCGAGAAGCCGCTCTTCCTGGAGCTCTGCCGACACATGGTCTTCCAGCGGCTCAGCCAGGGCGACTACGTCTTCCGGCCAGGCCAGCCAGATGCCAGTATCTATGTGGTGCAGGATGGGCTGCTGGAGCTCTGTCTGCCAGGGCCCGTGAGTGGACCACCAAAGGGGGCACCAGAGGCAGATGGGCAGGGGGGATGGGCATCGCTGTGGGTCAGCAGGGTTCGTAGTCTTTTGAGACGTGGGGGCAGGAGTTGGGAACGTAGCCCGAGGCTGTCGGGGGTGGTCTACACCGTCAGCAGTTACGGGTACTGATGCCTAGGAAATGGACGCCGGTCAAACAGTTTGGTGGGTGCCGGGATCGGGATGTCACTGATCACTGGGTGGTGAGGTTGAGAGCCAGGGGTATGGTCGGGGGGTGGGATACCCGTTGGCAGGGTGGGGACAGCTGTGCTCAGCGCTTCCCCCCCTCCCCCCCCCCCCCCCCCCCCCCGGTGTCTCAGGATGGGAAGGAGTGTGTGGTGAAGGAAGTGGTCCC